GAAAAATCGACTGAATTCGGTTTCCTTTCCGATTTTACCAACAAGCTTAGGTTCGTGGGGAAATTATTACATGTTATGAACAAGACATTTTTTATTTGCTTTTAGGTACAGAGAAAAAATAGAGAGGGACTAGGCATGTGCGTATTGTGTTTGGATAACAATAATAATATATAATAACAGATGCAACTTTTTAATAGACAAACGAATTTAATATAGATGTTTACACATTTAGAGGATGCTGATGCTGATGATGGAGCTACCATAACTATTCTATATACTATATAAGTATGTCATTACTTTTTATTTAAGTACACTTACTGAAATAAATCATGTTACAGAAATAATTCTACATAATATCGCCCTTTATATTAAGTGCCGTCAGTTCCGTGGGTGTGTTCTATAATTTATAACACTTTCATCAATAGATGTAGATACCGAATAAAGCAGGATCGGAAATCCGGTTGCCTTTTGTTATTTGGAGCGAGACTGCAACGTGTAAAAGCGACGATAGTCTGTGAACCCATTGACAAAGGCTTGGTGGCCCGGTATGGCTGTCGCATCACATACATACATACACATGACCACTGTAGACGAGACGTTTCCTCGCGGCACCCAACAACATACTTTCTCCATTTAATGTGCAGCTGTGCACGTGCCACGTTTGACACACATTCGTTACCCTCCACAGCAAGTTCGGGACATACATCCACATTTTAAGGTTTGTGTCGTTGATAACTTTAAGGTTATAATTACTTAGGAAGAGTTAATTCATAAATTTGACGTATACAGTATATGAATAGGATTGTAGCGATGTGTTAGGTTCTCGTTTAAAATTTTCACAAACAACACCTGTTAGTGAAGATTGCAACAGAGGGTATCGTGTTTTTGATATCAAACCGGTTTGCTTTGTTGAAGTTGGAGTGATGGCGGGCGTTACTTGCGCTTGCTCTTCGACGTACGCTAATTGTTCACGTTTATCTACAGCATTGTCCTAGTGGTAATGGAATAATACCGCTATTTTATCGTGTACTGTGTTGTTTAAGTGTTGTTGAAAAAAAATTGGTTAAATGTGAGCTTAACTTTTTACTGTTTTTTCAAGCTATGAATTTATGTTACTTTTACCTGGTTTCAAAACGGAAGAGATTTGTCTTATTTATGTAAAAAAGAAGAAATTAAGTGCCTATCATGATTTAGGCACACTGAAATCAGTGATGCGTTTTTGGGTAAATTATGTAAATACATAAATGGTTACCTATACACACGGTGTCTACTCTCTAGTAGAGAGAGGAATAAGTACTGGCCTCTGATCACTATCTATCACTACTACTAAACATTATAGAAGTGCTGTTGTTTAGCTTCATTTTGGTAAAACAAAAGAGTGCATCAGACATCATTTTGTTGCGGAAAATCGCGTTTCTCTTAACAAAATTTCGTATTCACCAACAAAGCACGTCACGTGTCATGTTTCTGAAATATTTTATTTTACTTCTAAATGGTTCCTGATGGATTCACTAATTAAAAATACATTTTCGGTAATACTGATTAGTTATCCACCCTAACTACGCAGGTGCTTATCTAAATTCATTTATGTGTTGTTGAAATTTCTGTTCATGTTTACTAATTGATTTAAAAAAAATATTTTTAAGCCGAAAAATGATAAATGAATAAATAAATGATAAGTTAAATGATCAAAGTATAAAATGTTTTTGTTCTAATAAAAATCAACCTCACTACAACCGCTATATACATACATATCAATAGAAATAAATATTTCAGTGTCTCTTTGTAATGTCAAATAATAGGTTTTGTCATGCTCACACGGTTATATGCACGATACCTATGCTTAAAGCCAGTTTAAATATTTTTTGTCTACCCGTTTGTTCCGGGTAATCCTCAAAATGGCTGGACCGATTTTGATCATATTTTACTACCAGGTAGTTGTCTATTTAAGGAGTATCTTTTAGAGAGAGCGAGATATTTTTCCTCTCAGAAAAACCCTGTAAAAAAATTCTCGGCCCGGTTTCGCACCACTCATGGATTTGCAGTCGCGTGCCATACCATCATTAAGGCAGCGGTTTTCATATTCCACGCGAACGAAGTCGCGGGTACCAGCTAGTTTCAAATAAATCAGTCTGGTAAATACCTATTACATTTTTATCTGAGTTCTTGAATGCAGACAGAATTACGTAATGTTGATCACCCGTTAGAAAAACATGAAAGTGAAAACAATTGCAATTAAGCAATTCTAGTTTTTTTTAACTTGTATTTCTTATAAAAGTAAACAAAGAAGAGAAATTCTTAGTCAAAAGATTGTGCTTCTCACAGTACTGGCTTTGTCGTCTCATCGTTCTCTGTTAAGTCTATCCTCTTGTGGAATGCGCTCCCTGTCGAAGTCAGGATGGCTACAAATCTCTACTCCTTCAAGTTGAAGGTAAAGGAGGAAGGTTGCTGAGTGAGTTAGCAGAATCAACAGGCTCTTAATTCATCACCCACAATTATAATAATTTTAATAAATGTATATATATGTATATGTGTATATGTATTTATGTTGTCTGAATATATATGTGTATGTATGTAAATGCATTAATTTGGGTATATGTATTTATTACTGCGTATATTTGTATATTTGAAGGATAAATAGTAGGCTCTGAATAAATCTCATTCAGATCAGATTCAGATGAAGTATCTGAGCCCAATTCTTGACGGGAGATGGCTCTTCGACGAGCACTTCCGACAGCTTGCTCCAAAGCTGGTCGGGGCTGCATCTGCCCTAGGGCGACTTTTACCCAATTTGGGTGGACCCAGCGTCGCAACGAGACGGCTGTACACGGGGATAGTCAAGTCAATGGCACTGTACGGTGCACCGGTGTGGGCGGTGACTCTGACCGCCCAGAATAGGGCACGGCTCTGGCGCCCTCAGAGGATATTGGCGGTTAGAGCCATACGCGGTTACCGCACCGTATCGACGGAGGCGGATTGCGCATTGGACGGTACTCCCCCGTGGGATTTGGATGCGGAAGTGCTCGCCGAAGTATATCGGCGGACGGCTGAGTGCCGGGCGGATAGTGGCAGTAGGCCCCCGCCCGAAGAGATACGCGAGTGGCGTGAGGCCACTCGTCGAGCCACAATGGTAGTGACAGATGTTTCACCGCGGTCGCATCCTTCTGCGAAGACGCCATCTCGCAGAAAGAGGCGGCGGAGAGGGCCCGAGAGAACAACCTCAACTCGGATCCAATCCGTCACCAGCGAACCGGCGGAAGAATATACCTGAAGGTGGCGCCCGCGCTGTTGCGGGCAGGCGCTAGGAGGGATCCGGATGTCTTAACAGCGGTCCCCGGACCCCTCCTATTACTGGCGCAGAGTGGCACACCGTGTGGTTTTAGTCGGTCCGTTTCCGACACAACCACCCCGCCGTAAACCCCGGTGGGATGACGGCCCGAGGGGGTTTCCACACGTAAAAAAAAAGACACACACACACAGATAGTTACTTTAATAAACGTCAAATGATATGTTACTGTTTTGACTTTTAATAAAGAAAATGATTTGACTTTAAAGTCGAGTACCGTATTGATTAGATTCTTATAAATATCACTTTAAATTATATGACCATATGATTTAACGAAAATAGTTCTTTTCAGGCTAGGACTGTAATATAATATTTCAAGGAACTTATACTATATTATGTCAAAAGCAGAATGCACAATTTCACAAACAATATTGTGATTAATTTTACCTAATAATCCATCAATCAAGATAAATATACGTCGTCACTAAGCTGAGGGATGCGTGTATGACGCATTTGTCCTTGTGTTTGGGCACTTGATAAGATATCGATACCTAAGTCTTGTATCGTTGAAGGGAATGTTGACATTGTACACTAGTTTCCAATTACAGGGAGGTATTATGTGCAGATTCAGGGACAATTTTAATATAAAATAGTCATTAACATTGTACAATATTTTCTTTAATTAACGGTATTGTATAGTAGAACTTTGTAAGACATATCAATTATTTACAGGACCCTAGGAGCGAATGAAATCGAACTCAATTACGATAAAAGCAGGATGTAGGTACATTTTTTTATACCCCGACGACAACAATTTAAATTGCCTGTTGCCCTAGCAGATGTTATTTTTATATTATATCGAGAGTAATATTACAGGATGCTCATAAAATAAACAACCGCTGTATTAATATAATTTTAAAATGTAGCTGTACTCTTGAAATTGCATTGATAAAAAATGAGGAAATAATTACATGTTATGTACAGCTATTCTATGCCAGAAGACCTATAAGTATGTCATCATGTTATCACTTTTTAATTTACACCTACCAACAACCGCTGTATAAATATAATTTATAAAAACATCACGGGGTACTTTACAAACCTTAGAAAAACAACATCTATAGTCTGAAAACTAATTAATGGATCACATAATTGTTGGCCTTGTAGGAAACGACCTCACAAAACTCAGTGAGTCGGCCACTTAAACCATTACACTACCCGTATTCTAATTCATGTATACATGTCAGAAGTAAAGAAACTGCTTAAGTTACTTTTCACCCTAAAAACCGAATTCATTGGAGAACCTATATACCTATAAAATGACGTGCGGGGTCTATGAATCCCCGGTCGGAACGAAGTTTGTAGCTATAGCAAGAAGAGTGTCGGAATAAAGTCTTGTTACACATTTGTCGGTCTCGCTCCTATCCGCTCAGAGAGTGTAACGCGCAAAAAGGACCTTTTTTCAAAAACTGTACTAGTTTTTGCGTATCATGACATGTCGAAGCGTGGTACATTATGATCATCAGCCTTTCGAAGTCAACTGCTAAACTCTCTCAAGGATCGCTAACTATCCCGGACTAGGGCGGTCCGCATCCAATCGTGCTGCAGGGCGTCCTATACTACGATGGCCTAATCTGGACACATAATAAACGTCTATTAATAAAACAAGAGGCTTTAAAATAATTAGTAATACTTGTCATTTGTTTTATTTCAGGTCCTTGGCATCCTTTGCATGGCTCTGGCGTCGCCGTGGTACTCAACTTGGTTCGTGTTTGTCGCTGTTGTCAGCTTTATCACTACTCTCCTCTGGAGTTGCGTCTTCCTATTCAGTATTAAGGACGTCCTCAAACTGCCCATAAATTGGGTTTTATCAGTAAGTTATTATATTTATCTATTTAAAATAAATGTTAAATACGTAAATTAAATCGGTAATTATGTTTTTGAGCTATTTGGGGCCGAGACACTGGGGCTATGAAGTCCGAATGCTCGTTCTCTTTAGAGCTAGCTAAGCTGATCAATACTTCCCGTTACCAAAAGGCAGTGTTTTTCTAGCTCAGGGAATTAGAATTGCTATACAACGTGGCAAGACTTAACTAATCAAAGTTTTTATTATGGGGTTATTACTAGAACTCGCATTGAAACATTCTTGTAAATACAAACACTCAGACCAGTGCCAATATATGCATTGAGCGGGAACCAAACAGGACACAGTCTAGTTTTACCTGAATGTTTGACGTGTAAGTGTCTGTCATTTATTTATTTTATTCAGTCAACACCGCCGCCGATCGTCTAAATACAACGCCATTTATTTATGATGTTTATAAGAATATAATATAAGTATAAGAAAGTTTAATATATGAGATTATAATAGTTATTTTAACTATTTTGTTTTTTTTTCCAGGAGCTGATCAGCATGGGTTTGAAGACGTTGTTGTACCTGATTGCATTCATCGTATTGTTCGCCGCAACGGCAACCTATTATTCAAATATACATGCAGCAAATGTTGCTGCTGCAGTAAGTATCTTATCATAATTATCATTTATCTACCATCAGATTAAAAATATTTTTAAAAATATTTGAGAATGCAAAGACGTTAAAGAATATATAAGTTATAAATGACTAAAAACCTGTTTTGAAAGTTGCTCAAGACAGTTTGAATTGCTAATTAAGCGGTGGTAAAATACTCATCGTACATCTCTCCGTAAAGAACTAAGAGACTTGTAAGAGCACAACTGTTATTTAAGGTAACTAAAAGATCTCTTTTTAAATAATATTATATTCTGCATCAGCAAAAGTTATATTGTGCAACGACATAACACACTGCGTAGTAATGAAAAACTTTTTACTTTTTATTTCGTATCTCGACCCATCAGCTTCAACTTTCTATTTATAATTTGCATATCAAAATTCTTGCCCACTTGGTTTAGTGAATCGTTTACACATACATCTCTAGGTTTCTATATGATTGCTATATGGCATAAAGAGAACTGATTGTAATTTTCGAATTGAATAAAAAATATGTTTTAGGAAGATATTTTGAGGCAAGTTCAAGGCTATGTGGTATAAGGCTATATGTATAAATTGTATGCATAATTAAATAGTTATATTCTACGAACGTACTTTATTATAGTTTTTCTTTGCAAAACATATATACAAGTTATTACTTAACATACGATACTGACTTTAAAAGCATTTAATTCAAAGACTAAACTGTAATAATTTATTAAAATATAGTAAGACATAATAGACATTGCTATATAGAACATTACTATTTATGGCTTATAATTCAGGTTGTAGAACACGAATAAATATACTTAGAATCCTTTATTTTCTACACATGATACGTACGAGTACATAGTGAATTTGCGTCCTCTGAAGTTTATGTATCTCTACTCTTCCGTGGGCGCTAAGTATGTAGGTTTGAACTTTGTTGTAGGTTGTTGGGGCTTTAATATACTTTATGTATAAAACTCCGACTGAAGCATCTAAGAATACTTTGGCTACCTATTTTCTTCTTCCATTAATGCTTCATAAGCAGTCCCCTATTATAACATTTATTTCATTGATACTATTCTATCGTCATTGTAATATGTTTCATTCCGGTGCCAATTGTGTCTGCAGCATCAAATCAAGGGCGCCATTATCTTGGTTTATGTATTAAGCCCACATTTTTAGTACCAAATTTTGAAACAAAGCTGGAAGTTTTCAACTCACAGACAGTAAAACTTAATCAAAATTGTGTCATCCATTTGGGAACTGTGTTGGCATAGAGACAGATACAAACCATGAAAAACTCCTCAGTGTGTAACGATAAATAATTAACAGAATGTAATTAGATTAGATTAACAGAATTCGCTGTACATCAATAACAGCGTCGTAAATCAATACTAAATGGTTAAGAAAGTTTTAGTTTTCTCTTTTCTTAAATGTGATGGTTTAGTGGTGGTATATAGTTGTAGGTAGCAGAGACTGCACATAATTTTTTTACTGGTAATTGTAAATAATTTAAAAGAGTAAGATTTATAATTTTAATTGATATTGAAGTAGAATTGGACGTAATAGTAGAATATTTGTATATATACGTTTAACAAAATTGGCTATAATCTTGTTTTTCTTTTATTAATTACAGGTATTTGGTATTTTCAATACGGTCGCATATGGAGCGAGCACGTTCCTTCTGTTTAAGGAGTACCGAAGCTCAGTGGCATCCGCGCCTGCCGCGTGAAGTCTTCTGTGCCCGCGGTCAGTAGCGTAACCTCAACATAAATTTATTTATAGTATCGCTCACATTCGTTTTGCTTTCGATTCAAGATATTAAAACATAACTGTTCTTAACCTTTCTTACCATAGCACTTTATACAATGTAGAAGACAACTGTAAATGTTATTAAATATTGAGATTAAAATAAAGTTACACAGTTTTGTCAAATGCTATATAAAAAAAAGTTTGTAAATCGAAGGTAACATGAATGGGTTTAAGTAACTGCCAGGTCACGATTTTTATACATTATATCAGTACGTGTTAAGTTAATTGTATATATCATTTATATTTTATAACATTGACTATATTTGACAAATATTTTGTTGCAAAGAAATGTTTATTATTATTGTGTAAGGGTTGATTTTTAATATATTGAACTATAAATAATGTATTAAGACATTGAATCCCCGCGTCTTAATAATTTTATATCAAATGAAATGTTGAAGAATCAGTCATTGTAAAGTTATTTCAAAAATACTGAGATATTTCTTAGACTGATTGAAATTTTATAATTAACGAAGTAGGTACCTACCTACACTTTAACTTTAATACATTATTACATACTTAAATTTAAAAGAACGGCCATAGATTGTGTACAAACAAAATATTAATGACAGCTGTTTAGAAATAACATAAACTTTTCTCTAAAGATTTATTAATTTTTTATAATGTGTTGATGAATAAGACAAATAATAAATACTGTTACAACTTTCTTTATTATACTTAAATTACTTTGTTAGACTAGTCTATACATCAATAAGAATTAAATGGGTAAAACGAATTAAAGTATATGGTAAAATATAAATCATAGATTATAATATATGAACGTATTTAGAATTCTGTAAAAGGTTACGACGAACAAGAGCACTTGTGTTCTTTTAATGTACCTGTTACATTTTAATTTTGATGTATTCACTCAGTTATCGATCAAATACTGATATTTTTACGTTTGATTATTATATTTATTAATATTCAAAGCAATACTTGATAAGTTATACCATTGTAACTAGCTTACGGTTACACCAAAATATTTTCTTTATAACATATATTGTCCGTTTTGTATTTCTGTGGGTTTAAGCACTATTCTTACACTATCTATTTGTATATCAATATCTACACATTTTAATATATCTAATATTTTTTAAAGATACATTTGCTGTTTTTGTTAAGTACTGAAATATTTAAGTTGTGTTGAATGTCAGATGTTATGTGAAGTTTTTAAGCGGTAGTTAATTTAATTAAACTAATTTGTAAAAAGTTAATAAATATATTTTAACATATATTTTTATTTCATTTCGTGCGCCTTATGTACCCACCTGCGAATTCTTTATTGTATAAAATACTACTATAATATTTGACAGTGTTATCGTGAATGCACAAGAAGTCAAATTGGAATTGTAGTTCTATTTGCTTCTAGCTTTTGCCTGCGGCTCCGCCTCCGTATATGTCGGTTATCGCGGTAAATAGTATCCTATGTCTTTCCTCAAGAATCAAACTATCTCCATACCAAACTTCATCTGAATCGGTTTGGCTATTTAAGCATGAATAGGTAACAGACGGACAGACAAACTTTCGCATTTATTAGTGTGCTAATATTAGTTTAGTTTTTCGTATGGATACCATACCACTAGTTGTTTTTATATAAATACTTCTGTTAATAGATGATTTTCCTCCCTCTATTATGATCGAAAATTAACCTAATTTTAACATGACCTTAATATTGAAGACACAAATAAGATTACAAATGAATACTTAATGATCAAGTACACTTTTTTCAATGTTTTAAGGGTCAAACGAACAGACGGGTCACGTAATCGTAAGTGACCAACACCATCCATTGATACTTGCAAGTCAAGTGCCATAAGTGCATTGTTGGCCTTTGGTCCCTCCCCCCATTATCGGGTACAAGTGGGGTTTGGGCGGTAACTTAACTCACTTTTTTTTTTCGATTCCAAAAGTTCCGACATGAATATATACTCGTATCTATGTATATACACAATATATGTTTAAATAATAAATAGTTATACTATCAATGCATTTCAACCCAAATTCAACCTACGTGTAAACGGGGCCAATATATGTAGATACTTATATATAGAGGTGTCGGTAACGGTAACAGGGTCACACCGGCCGAGACGGCTCATTATTACCGAGGTATGGCTCTCTCACGGCAAGTAGTTATAGTTTTATTATTGTACTCATCATCATCATCAACAGCCTTTATTAGTAAACTGCTGGACATAGGTCTCTCCTTAGAAATGACGAAAAGAGGTCTTGGCCTACTATACTACCCTGACCAGGCGAGTCGGTATAGGATTTCTGTCAAGTTTTCCTTTTCTTTGCAGGGCTGTTGTCCTGCGTAGTTTGCTCCCTTAGTTGACTCTTACGACACGCTGCGTAACACGCATGGGATAAATAGGGGCGGTAATACTTGAATTGAAATTGAAGGTATAGTACCTTATTATAAAAAAAAACGAAGTTGGAAAATAACCACATGACCTGTTTAATACAAATTTAAGTACCAATACACTTTCACACAAACTCACTCTCACACACGCATATTTTTTGTATTGTCTGAAAGTGTAGAATCAGAACATACAAAAAAAACTAAACAATTGAAATTTACATTTTTTTCTTCGGAAACGACGACCTCCTTCGGCAGTCAGGCTTACCGCTTACTAACCACAAGTCAACATGCCAGTCTAATGATAAGATAACAATTAGTCAAACGATTTGAAGATTACAGAGGTCTACCAGGAGCTCTATAGTCTGTGGCGGCTGTGACGTAGATAGGCAGAGTGGTTGATTTCGTAATGGCGTTTCGGCCGGGGCACTCAAAGGCCGCCTTACGCACTTGTGTCACTTGAGTTGCAAATATTCATTGGCGGCAGCAGTCACTTATCATCGGGTGAACCGTTTGCTGGTCTGCTATATGCCATTAAAAAAAAATTGTTACAGTTTCACTTCCTAACTACTCTTCTTCTTTTTTTCTGACAATTGACAGACAACGCCATCTCTGAATGAAAGCTAGATTGATTGTTAGAATACTTAATGACTTTTTTTGTAAATACATGCATATTATACACTAGCTGACCCGCGCAACTTCGTCTGCGTCTCTCAATAGTAATAAATTTTCTCCGTTTTTGAAACATTCTTCATTGGTGCTCCGCTCCTATTGGTCTTAGCGTGATGATATATAGCCTATAGCCTTCCTCGATAAATGGGCTATCTAACACTGAAAGAATTTTTCAAATCGGACCAGTAGTTCCTGAGATTAGCGCGTTCAAACAAACAAACAAACAAACAAACAAACAAACTCTTCAGCTTTATAATATTAGTATAGATAGAAAGCACCCAAACTTCGAAACAAATATTTGCAGATCATACAAACATTTGGTCCGATCCGGGATGCGAACCCGAGACCTCAGCACAACAGTTGTATACCCTGCTAATATTAATAATAAATAATTAATAAAATCATTTTTTTTTTTCTAAATCTTATACATGGTGATGACTCGGAATAAAATAATGACAATCGCCGTCAGAATGAGGTCTGATTCATAATTGCGTTTATCATGTTAGTTCCTACTAATTTTATGATATAATTGTGCATAATTTTAAACAGTCTTAATGGTTGGGGAGCCCATGATGCTAAATGTGAATTTACTCGATCGTCATGGGGACCTATTCAATTTGAAAGATTAGGTAATAGATTGAATAAAAGTTATATAATGTATCCACTTTACGCGATGGTAAAAGCTTCTACAGGTTTTTAAAAATGTTGAAGTTGAAAATGTTGAAGTTGAAAAAAAAATGTTCGGGCTCATCAGATATTTTCGGGATATGTTATTATGGCGCCAAAAATGCTCCCGTTGAAAGGTCTAACAATTTTTCAAACTGCAAATTCGAAAAATCGCCATTTCGATGTACCCGAGCTATTAGATTTTATACAGACGCTTCAGCTTGATGTTCCTCTCATACTAGCCAAAAATCTGAAGATAATTTTTTAAATCTGACGGTTAGAAATATTTTGATTTTTGATTTTTTATAAAATGTGATAAATAAAGCACAAAAAATTATGTACACATTAAAACAAGATTTATTGCATATTGACTTAACTTACCTTAATCTTACACGCTGGAGTATGTCTGGCCATAGATATTTTTTTTAACTAATCTGATGGGCTGCACTAGACGCCTCTCCCTATGTGTAGGTCTCATGTACGGTGGAGGTACTCAACTGGGTGTAAGGTATTCCTCCTATCTTCTATATCTCTGACACGCTCGAGTAAATCCCAAAATCCCTTCTAGGGCTCCCTTACATTATTATTGCCTTTATAAGCTGACTAAGTATAAACCTCCTTTCTAAGGAGAGGCCTATGTCCAGCAGTGGACTGTTATAGGCTGTTGATGAAGTATAAAAAATATTTATAATTACATGTAATACTGAATTACCTGATGGTTAATAAGTTTATAAAATTGACTGTTGTCTTCGGATAATCAGATGTCTTTGAACTCGTTAGTCATCAACGGTAAACAGTGTAAGTATGAGAATGAAAGACTTGGATGCGCTAAATCGTATGTCTGGTGTTTGTAGTGGTGCGCAATGTCGATAGCGCCGAAGGTGACTCACCAGCGGTAGCCTGGTGCACACTTCACAGTCGTTTCAAAACCTCTCGCTCGTACAAACGTGCGCTTTTCATATATTTTTATACAATTTTCCTGGAGTTTAAGACTTTAAACAATGTAAGTACAATACCATAAACAATTTTCTTGCAAAATATTAGTTTCTTCTGATTCTTAGACTTATTTTGTATCTAAATAGACAAGAGTACATTGTTTACAACGCAGACGTTAGATATAAAGAATAGTCTCGGTGTTACTAGAGAACGAGTGTCAGTATTAAGTATATAGATTTAAATAATTTTATTAATAAATTTTATTATTATTTATCTTTAACTCTAAAGCTGTTGTTCGTTTGGGGGATAATTTCTTAACTATGAATGCTAAGCCATGTAGAGACGAGGGTAGAATTTGATCATCTGTTCGCCACAGACTGTATCTACTAATATTGCTTGTAACTCTCACACATGTATAACAATAGTTGAATGCTAGGTGCAGTCACGTATTTTAAATGCATGTATAAATAAACTTAGTGTATATGTAGTTATTTGTTTACGAGAGTAGCTGACCTCGACACACAAACGCCGCGACCGTCATTGCTCACCAACACGCTGACCTAAGCTACCCTTTTTCGGAGATGACATAATTTAAGAATTTAAATGGCAAACCATTGATTGTTGGGCATAGGCGTGTATAAGCTATTTCGAATAATATTAAGGAAACTATTTATGTACTAACAACCTTGTCGCTCCTGTTTAACAAACTGTAGCTTATCTCTGTTTGTTTGTAAGAGCGATTCCCGTGTTGGGCAAATTATTATAATAGTTTAGCACGTGATTAAAAAACATAAAGTACTCTGTAATGTATTATCAATGGATATCTCATATTTTATGTATTACTTTATGTATGCAACTTAGAAAATAAACTTTCGTATATAAGTGGTATTCATATTCATTAAAGGTATAGGGACAGAGTTACACTTGACAACAAGATTCACTCCCTGAAAAATGATCCTCGTTGGTCTCGCAATTAGTCGGGCATCCCCCAAAATACATAACTTTTAATGAACATGTATGAAACTTGTTAAAATTTAATTTAAAAATAAGCTGTAATTTTTAGTGTAATTCTTTAAAATCCTTGAGTACTACATTCCTGTCAGAATAATTTGCCATCTCTTTGTTTTAAACTTAAAAAAATCCAATCTTATCCCAAGGTGCTGATTAGCTTCGACCGAATACCTAATACAATCTTTAGTCAAAACTAGCTGACCCGTTGAACTTGGTTTCGCTTAACAGTCAATGAATGAGCAGATTTATGATTTTAAAATTAACTCAAAATGATGAAGTTTAATTTACATTACGTGAGCTGTCAGTTGCGTTTTGTAATACAATTAAATACAAAAAATACAAACAAATGAACGGCTACTTATTTTTTGACTGATGTTTTTTTTAATGATTTTTTTTATTGATGATTATCATATTTTAATACTTATCCTATTCCGGATCCAAATGGATACAAATCCAAAAACACAAAAACATAAAAATTGATCCAGCTGTTCTCGAGTTGTAAGTGGTGTAATTAACACGACTTTGTTTTATATATATATGTATAGGTATCGGTCTGACTGGATGAGGACTGGGAATGTTTTAAATGTTATATAATTTACGATTCCTTGCTTCTTTCTCCTTCTTCTTTCCTTGCGGTCAAATCCCGTCACTGTACTTTCACAGTGAAAAAAAATGGAATGTTTAAGTATATATATTGTTACAAATTTATTTTTATATAAATATTTATATAAGTTATAAACGTTTCTTGCAGTAAACCAGAATGTCGCATTCAGTAACCATCACCAGAACTACGGTAGCTACGAGTGGAACGCCGGTCTTCATCAATAGCAATTACTTAAGTACCTTTCCAGGACTCCTGAAAGTGGCACAGTTGGTAAGAACGCCTTTTAAGACTTGTTGTATTTACAAGACATGTTACCATTACATGATATTGTTGCATTCTAACCACATGTTATCTTACTTATTATTGAATTAAACAAAAAGAAAAGAAATTGTTAAAATAATGTCATAATTACACATTAATTGTACTAACTACAAAAAGTGGTGAACCAATATCTTTGTAAAGAGGTCAACATATCAAAGCACCTTTTAAATATTAGATTTTTAACCGACTTCAAGAAGAACGAAGTTTTTTTATAACTCCGTCATGTATAGACGGATTTTCAAGTTATTTTTTGTTCGAAAGGGGTTTATTCCGAAATGGTCCCATTTAAATCTTATATAAAATTCTCGTGTCACAATGTTCGTTCCCGTACTCCTCCGAAACGGCTTGACCGATTCTCATGAAATTTTGTGTGCACATCGGTTAGGTCTGAGAATCGGCCAACATCTATTTTTCATACCCCTAAATGGTAAGGGTGACCCATCCCTATTTTTTTTGTTTTGCAATACATATAGATCTGATGATGCGTTTCGGAGACAGACAACGAAACTCTTCAAAAAATAACAGCAAATCAACCGCGATTGCTGCTAGATTTTGAGTAATCTTTGTTAGTATTGTTGGAAGTCGGTTTTTTAAAAGGATTTTTGAATTAAACGTCCAGACATCGTTCATATTAAATTTAAAAAAGATGGCGGTAAAAACAGAAAAGAATATTTTTAGACAACAGGAGTAAAATATATTCTTTTATAAAATGAATAAGCCGTTGGTAATATCGTAATCAATCTATTTTCCAACTTCTTCAGATATTTTAATACGAAGGGTGACCTAGTTTCAGTTTCATAAATATCGCGGTTGAGTAACATTTAATATTATGGAACGGCTGACGAAGGCCTCTTTTGTAAAAATATGATTTTAAAAGAGGAAAACAAGACAATTATAATGAAATGAAGTTAAGAGAAATATTAAATTCGTAATTCGTCAATGAGTAGTCCTTTGAATTAAAATTAGTTAGGTATTAAAATTTTCGGGTTTAAAAAATACAACTTTCTGCAAAGTTGATAAGCTACATCAACTTTGCAGAAAGTTGTATTTTTAATACCTAACTAATCGTATTCTATTGTTACGTTTGTTGTGTTGCCGAGTAAATAATGACAAAGCTTACAGAGAAAAATCATGACATGGGCACAATGTTCTTAGGAATTAACATATTATGATAATATTATAGTCTCTCATATTGCTTAACAACCTGTTTTATCACAATATAAACTACGCTAGAAATTATACATCCTCTCTAGAGGCCATAGTGCATATATGCACACAAAGTTAAAAAATCAAAAAGCGGTACCTAAAGCCCTCTTACTCCGAGAGCTCACACTTACAAAGTTGTATTGAGAAGTCACCAATTATCTTCCAATAAGATATCAATTTTAAAGAGTACTAAAATGAAACTTGTTGAGCTAATAAAATGAGTAGAACGTTTTCTAACGACGACATCATGTTTAATCCAAATTCACATTTCCTTTCTAAGTTGTCCACTAAAGGCTGTTGATGAGGGATTTGCTTAGGAAGTTTACATAAGTATAGTAATGTGTAGTTATTTATACAATTATGTTTGCAAACAAGCATGAGACTGCCCTGTTCCTGACGTGACGGTTGCCTATCAAGTATAGGCAACCGTCAGGAACAGGGCAATGTATTTTCAATGTATCAAAATTTGTAGTAGTATGTGGTTCCAGTTCGAATAGTAATCTATTTTGCTACATTTACCTTATATTACCTTATATATTCAACAATCTTCATTCAGTATAGTTTTCCTTGTAAGTTTATAGGAATTAGCTTACAATGATATCACCCACGGATGGCGTCACCGTATGTTGTTAAATTGTTCACACAAATAATGAAACACTTATAGCTATACTTCATAATAAAGCGGCCTATCTTTACGGCGCAACGTGAGTCAGAAATTAAGATCTGAAATATGTACCACGTCCTATTAACGCTTGTTATTGCATTTAGAGCTGATCGTACTATATTAGGAACAAATTAATTGAGTGGTGCCGCAACACATGCAACGAAAACTGACACTCGACACACGACTTTTTTTACTGCGTTTGGGTGACAGCTTTTCGGGGAGTGAGTGAGTGCCCAATCCCACGTTAATAATGGGACAGGGAGTAGTAAGTAACCTCTACTTAAGGGGCGGCAACGCAATTGTGATTCTTGAGTTGTACAAAACGAAACGAGGAGGACACTTACGTCATCTACGGTCACCACCATAGATTACGTTAGTCACTTACCATCAAGTGACCCGTCTCCTCGTTTGCCCTCTCTACAAAACATATATGTAATATCGAATAATCACACCTTTTTTAGTCAGTCAAACCAAATTGCGGCAATGAGTCACATAAGTTTAACTTTGTACCATAATTTGTCGAGTAAAGATCTTATGTGTCACTAAACCAGCAAAACATACTTTATTATTGCCAATCTAAAGCTCAGTAGTTTAAAAAACAATCTTGTCACAACATATGACAATAATGCATTAGGCATTATTGTCATGCTCGTGATATGTCAGCGAGATACATGTGATATAAGAAGTTAAGGCGTCTTTTTACTCGTAAATTGTAATTTTATATTTTAAGCCTTAGTTATAAGCAAATGGATAAAACTATGCAGAGTTTACCGAGTATTATAAAAAAAAATACAGTAAGTATTCTCTGGCAAAATTTCCTGTGTTCAACCTTGAGGTTTAGGATAATCGTGATTTCATCCGTGAATGTTATTCTTGGAGCACCGAGAATAAACAAACATTCGCTGATTTGCAGCGTGAAAGTACGTCACCACAAAAGTTTGTATTTTAGTGCATTCACAGTTCGTTGATAACAACTGTTTAGGGCAAAACCTCGTTGATACTTAACATGCATTGTAAGTAAATTTTACAAGGCAACAAGTTACTCACTCTCAAGGTTTCTTGCAAAGTCAATATGTACATTTTTGTGTCAGTTATTTGCGGATAGTACTTATTGCCAATAACCTGATACAGAATTAAACAACATGAGTTACTAAATTGAGAGGAAAAAACTCTTATTTTAATAGAAGTACCTAGGTTGTTCCGATAATATTTAGCTACAAAATGAATAGGTTCTATCTCTTTTTTCTTGAAACTGTTTTGAATTGTCGTGACGTCTAATTTCAATACAAATGAGGTTAACCTTCAAGGAATCTGAAGAAAGTTTAACACTGCAGAACGGCCTACATTTTTTTGAAATGTTTTTCTTTATGATATAAGGGGCAAACGAGCGGTCGAGTCACCTGATGGATAGTGATGTCTGAACTCAGGAGTGTTTTAAAAGCTGTTTCAAACAGCCCCTAAGACCTTAAGATACTTTTTTTATAATAAGATTAATTAATCAGAAACTCGGTCAGATTTATATTATGGTGTTATATCAACACGTTAATTGAAGAGAGTATTAATGCGTAAACTATAGATCAGTACGATCTCAACTCGATTGATCAATAGTTTATGCACCCGCTGTTCTGCTCGTACCCGGCCGTGATGATATCGGTCGTACCCGCTTCGCGACCATCCCATGTGAGTGCAATTAATCGATATTCGATATCGAACATTGAAGATCATTGCAAATTTTAACGTGGTCAGAGATGATACTTCTTTTACTACTACTACCGTTTTAGTTTCAACGTTATCGAATATTATTACGAAGTATCAAATATAAGACTTAAATGGTCGTATTATTTAACTGAATTAACTTAGAAGCTTAGTAATTTACAGCTTCAAGGGACTCCAGACATATTCCTGACAGACAGACAATAAAGTGATCGTATAGGATTTTCTATTTATCTTCTAAGGCACGGAACCTTCAAAATTAGCTAATTCATAATTAGCTAATTACTTTAGACTGAATTGCTTACAGTTGTCTGAATGTACTTTGAGTCCTTTGCTTACAAGGTAGTCCCGAAATTACGTTGTATGGCATTAAAATGTTATTATATTGCAGAATTTCACCCCATAAATATTATTATAATATTAACAATAATTCCCTTGACATACCACTCTGACGTCATGTTCGGAAAGCTATGGTGACCTCCCTGTCTGCCATATAGGTCACAGTAATCTTAAAAATGCATTACAGTAAATAGTTGTTACCAGATGAGCACATGACTTGATAGTTATTTTTAAATCTTCTACGAAGATGTAAGCCATAAATCTATATATAGTACACGGTGATTTTGAAAGCGTTTTGGAAAAGAAAATTTTGAGTTATTTATCAGTAACAGAAGCTATATATAACGTTAATTTAATAAAATATATTTTTTTTTATCATCAAAGTCGATATTCATATCGTTTACAGAGAAAAAGTCAGAACCAGTAGTAGTAGGCTATTCAATCACACGTAGGTAAATACTACGAATAGAAATACTATGCGTTTTAATATCGAGTCACATCACATCGTATTCGCCAATAAAAACAAAGCTACCGAGTTGCGCCGGAGTCGTCCAACCAATGACGTCTGCCCCGTAGGCGCATGCGCGTTGCTCACCTGTCATCGTCAGTCGGTCAGTAATACCATAACATCGTGACGGCACGCAATTGAAAGCCCTCAAATTCCCTCCACACCTACCATCTTGGCTGCAACCCAACGTCTTCTCGACCACGGACAATTTCGTGCGCCTACTCATGCGCAAGGTCAAGGACGTTTTAATTATTATTCGGCGGAGTGTAGTGCGTGCATACCTGGACAATGAGCTTAGTGATCGGACTTAACGCCCCTGGATTTTTTCTTATAGTCGGAAATAAAAAGACTTGTTAATACACGGGAATATGAAAGCCGTGATAATTTACGCATTGCGATAGTGGACGCTTTAAAGTGAAAAGTGATAGAGACACATTAAGAAAATTAAAAAACTATTGCATTAAACGTGGACGTTTGTGTATTGAATGCAGCGGACTCCATTTTGAGCAGTTCCTTCGATACAGAGAACTGTAAATAGTGTAAATAGGTATGTAAGTTAATTATTCTGTAGATAGCTCCGATTTTTTAAATACGCCTGAAATATTTATACCTACAGTCCGTTGATAAATTGATTTGTTGTGAAAAGAACAATCGTGGTTAATAATCGAAAAGAAGTTTAAATAAAATAGGTATTTCTGACGGTCCTAAGCCCGTGTAAAGTATGAAGGACAAATTGGAGTCTATCTACGTAAGTACTCGCTAGCTCGCGCCTATAGGTATAGTTTTGTCAGCTGCTGTTAGCGTCGGCGGTGCGCAGCGGCCGCCGAAACGCCCACGGACGTGTTTCATTCATATAAGATAATGAATGAACGATCAGTCCATTACTACTTTCCAAGTCGATCGAGTAAAAATGAATATTAAAACTGAAACTTTTTTTTAGACAACATTACAATTGATTTAATCATTTTTATTGGTACTATAGATGATTCCAAATTCAAATATTTCGTTTCCAAAACGCTTTCAAAATCACCGTGTATAAAAGAAAGTCGTGTTAGTTACACTATTTATAACTCAAGAACGGCTTTACCGATATGGCTGAAAATTGGTGAGGAGGTAGCTTAGAGCCAGGAGACGGACATAGGATACTATTTATTCCGTATTTTTTTTTTTGTATCGGCGTCGATCACCAGATGACAACGGTGGAACTGTCACAACAAAAGTGAAAAGAATGGATTTCGTTGTCGACAACAGTTGGATTGTTCCATATTCGCCACTTATTTCTAAAACGTTCAAGACACATTGCAACGTTGAGTATTGGTCGGAAGACCATCTGCGTTGTTTGTTTTTGCGCCTGCTAAGATAACAAAAAATGTCGTGTATCAACAACTTTAAGGCGGAACAGAGTTCGCCGGGTCAGCTAGTCTATATATATAAAAGAAAGTCGTGTTAGTTACACTATTTATAACTCAAGAACGGCTTTACCGATATGGCTGAAAATTGGTGAGGAGGTAGCTTAGAGCCAGGAGACGGACATAGGATGCTATTTATTCCGTTCGACAGTGTTCCCGTGTGACTTGACATAAAACATCAGGCACTATAAAACGTGGTATAAAAAAAAAGAATCAGACTTGGAATAACAAAACACAAATGACAGCTATGTAACAATAATAAATGATTAATGTACTTCAATTTTTTTTCTAAGAAAAAAATTAACTTACTAAATTCGAAAATCGGCTTATTTATTGCCTTTAAGGCGGAACAGAGTTCGCCGGGTCAGCTAGTTATTAAAATAATTAAGGTTTATTACTAATGATTCTCTTATTCCAATCGCTCAAGCATTTGTACTTACAAATTATTAATCATGAATTGGCGTTATACCTGTATCTATAGTTCAGTAAATATCATTTCTGTAAATATAATTCTAAACGCCTGCAAAATCTAAACATGATTTGCTACAATACTAGTCGGCTTTGTTCAGGCACATTAATGGTACAAATTTTGGTTTGTAGAGGTTATTGTTACTATATACCTGCTTATAGATAATGAGTGGTTGGCAAAGAGTCTACCAGCCCCACGACTAGGGAGTCCTAACACGATGGTAAAGGGCCGAGTGCGACGATAAGAATAGTTTTGATTGGTTACTGTTAGTCGCAATATAAGATCGGATGGTTGTATATTACTATTTTTATTCTCGTAATAATCGCTTACAAAGTTCTTGCTATTTTCAGTTATTGGGTGCGGCGTGCGTCGGCGTTGTTGGTTACTATATGGACAATGGCTACTGGAGGTACAATCAAAAAGCAGAGCTGTTCTATCTGCTCGTCGCTGTATCCTTCCTCATTGGCACCTTCTGCCTTATAACTTCGCATCTGGTCTCCTTGTCTTCTTCTATGATAACCAAAACAGTTTACGTGAGTATTTATAAAAAAATATTCTTCATGTTTTTATGTTGTTAAAGGGCAAACGAGCAGACAGCTCACCTGATGGTAAGTGGGAGGAAGGGGGAGGGTTTGGGCTTTAGTAACCTCAGTCCTACGTTTTAGTAATCGATTCATTCTATTTTATTTCGTACAAAGAAAATATTAGTAATCGATTTAACAAATAAAAGTTTACAAAGATCAATACCTTCTGATTTTTGTACTACCCAATAGGGTAGTACTTTTTCGGTAGTCGGGTGTTGTTTTTGAAAGAAACGATAAATAGCATCTTTTTATTCCAGTTTAATTTTAAGTACCTAATTATAAATGTGTGTTACAGGAGGTGATATATCACGGACTTGCATTTATTTTATACCTGTGCGCTGGTCTCACACTCCTCATAGAAGTTAACCATCGGAAGAATAGTTATGGATCTGTTTATGAGGCTTACTTAGCAGCGGCGGTATGTATTGAATCCTTCTATTCATATTATTATAAAAAATAAATATTACACTTAGACCATGTCAAGAAGTTTCTGGTTCTTTTGTTTACATGGTCTTTTATATTTGACTAGCTGAGCCCTACAACTTCGTCCGCATCTCTCAAAAGGCACTAATTGTTTTGACAACATTTTCGACTGTGCCCGGTTATAAAGGTGGTCTATAGCCTTCCGCAATGAATGGGCTATCCAACACTGAAATAATTTATCAATACGAAGCAATAGGTAATTCTTCAGCTCCAACGGCTCCAAACCAAACTCTTCAGCTTTATATATTATACAGAATATATTAGTACAGAAGTATATGAACACTGACACACAGCCCCGGACCAACGATTTTTTCGAACCGGGGCAGAAAGTTGATAATGGCGCCCCTCTCCAGCGTTTGAGATAAATTACTTAAAAAACTCACAAATATATAAGTTCACTCGTAGTGTTGGCCTGTGTGGCCCCTTTTTATTACAAGTCGACTTATGCTAGGCGCTTTGTGGACCATGTTTTTTATTTTTAATCATACTATGCGGCGTATGCCGCTAATCGCTACTGTCACATTGGTGAAAAATTTATTCACTGGTCATTACTTTTCTGTTATACATTATTTATTGTAGTAACGAAACGGCCCAGCCACATATTTTGACTAAGGTGTAGAGATTGTGAAGTTAGGGCTTGTAAAGTGGATATGATTGTAGTCTTTTAAACATTGTGGTCTGTTTTAATCGTAGATTCGGTTTGCTTTTTAAACGTCCAGGCTGTATCTCATGTACCAGACCAGTATTATACCAAAAAGAAACAATACATTTGTGGCGTTGCACATCACTACGCGTATGCACGTCTCTACGCCTCTGGCTAATGTTACATCACTCTCCGACGCGATGACGTAGTTCTGCTCCCGGGAACTCTCTCTTATGTCGGGATAAGAGAGAGTTCCCGGGAGCAGTTGCAATTGTCAAATGGTTCGGAACACGAACCGTGTGTTCGTGTCCCGATCCGTTCGTGTCCATATATTGTAGTTAAAAAGTTAATATCAGTACTGATGCCTGTCAATTCGCATTCGTGAATAATTATAATTACAAATAACAGACATAAAAATCAAGTGCTTTTCTTTTGGACCTTAACAAACCAAAAATTTAAAAGTAATCTTTTTATTGACATTGAACATTACTTTTGGGGCCAAATTAGAAAATCAGAGAAATTGGCGGATTGTACCATGTCACATGACAGCGTTAAATTTGTATATTTATACCTTTTTTACAGTGCTAAAATAACATTTAAAAATTTCAGTTTTTTTTTTATTTTACCTTCAGAATTTTATTGACATGTCTCACAATTCAGTTTGTTCGAAATAAAAATAGAGAAGATTAAAATGTATAATTAGTGTAATCAAGGAAAATGACCGATTTAAAGTAGTCTCTTTGAGGTCAGGACAGTTTATAACAAAATTAGCAGTTCTAATATGAAAGTGGACCATAAAACACTCCATTATCACACAATGTATAGTCTAAAATTCTTGTAATTTTTTTTGTTTCTTTTTTAAATTCTAATTTTTGAAACACTTTTTAATAATGATGAATGATTTTATTCATATTCCTTTTTAATTTCCTTTCCTGAAAATTATTCCTTTTGTTTTGTTTTAAACCATAAGACCGTGTATTACGTCTAATTTATTATTCATTTGTTACAGATAATGGGGCTAGTTATGGCTGGTCTATATTTGCTTAGTACGTTCTTGGCAAACCGCTCGTACCGTGGCATTTAACTACCGCACTGATCGACTGACTTCATTATTGCGGAGATATTTAAAACTAAACTTTATATTTAGCTTAAACTTATTTAATACCATGATTTACTTAGTACTAAGTAGAAGTAAGAAAAGCTGTACTTTTTAACCCATAAACGTGACTTAGATGAAGCTAGGTTAGCAAAAGAGAAACAGAAATGAATTTGCATAGAGACAATGTCGTTCAAGTTGTTGTCACCTTGAATTTACAACTGTTTAGAATGCGGGAGTTGGGTTAGAAACGTAGAAAGTGATAAATCGCCATTTGCCGTATAACTACATGCATGTATCTGTTCTTATACAGGTGAACCTGAAAGTTTAGTGGATTTAAAAAAATCATTAATAAAACCTTTGTTAAAGTTTGTTTTTTTAAAGTTTCATCATCCGGATGTGCACCATCATGCTTAAAAAGAAGTAATGTTGTCATCATTTTAGTTTCCACCCAAAAAATGTCTCTTGAGAACTATATTCTAAGTCTGATAAGCCTTGTTCAATAAAATAAAAAAAGTCATGAATCATAGTCATCAATTATGATGTTTAATTGTGTTTTGATCAAGAATTTACAATTATACATATAGCTAATGAATTACGGTTAGTTTTACTAGTCAATGTTTTAATTTATTTTTCCTTCCTTTATTGTTATTAATACAAAATAGTTTGCACATATTTATATTTAATTTTAGATTTAGTTTAAATTTATTGCCTTTATCGTCTGCCGTATTTCGTGATTGCGCAGTTGTGCAAATATGCACAAAGTTCTACTTCTGTTAGGAATTTTTATAATTAAAAACTGTACTTAAATTTATAGAGGAACGAATTTTAATACAAGAATGTTATAAGTAAGTCACTTTTTTTAAAGAGGCATGGAGGGAGGCGAGGAGGAACTGCAAATTTATAAATGTAAAATGTTGGTAGATGTAGTGGATTCTGCCCTTTAAAGTTCTCAGTGGATTTGTTGTTGTGTACTATTTAATTTAAATCAACAACTTAGAATTTATTTGGCAAGATAAAAACCAGAGAAACAATTATAATTATGGCGACGGACAACGGTGGCTGCTCTGTCGGAACGGACGGGGACCACTGAACTAAATTTTGTGAAGAGGACACATAAATAAATAATACCCACATGATATCTACTTGTATGTGTAAGTTTCTTGCAATATATTTGTATCCAGATAAAGTGTGAAAGTAAGTGTATTGCCTTGTTATGTCTTTTAAAAAAACTTATCTGAGTGCTATTTAAAAAGTAACAATCTTTGTAGTTTTATCTTTATATACAGTCCTAACGTACTAACGGAATTTTTAGTAACATTTTGATATTACATTTAATGGTATGTTTTTTTTTTCAAATGTTACTATTTCTAAACTGCAATTCAAATTGACGAATACATTTTCAAATAAAGGTACGAGCTAAAGTGTAATTTTGTATAATTTTATATTACTTTTAACTACTTTTGAGATATTATGTTTTTATACAAATAAACTGATTGTAATTAAGTCGAATGCTTCATGTGTACTTTTGTATTTATAAATATTTGCATAATTATTAATTAGTATTAGAATCTCAAAACGAAAATAATGTAATAAATTTATAAAAGGAATATCATATATTTGAATGTTAATTTAGAATTAAAAAGTAAAACAAATGAATGTTATGAACTGAAAACATTTTTTTATTGTGTGAAAAGTTATTTAAGAATTTACTTTACGCATTTCAATACTTCTTACTTTATATGAATAAATGTTTCTACTTTTAATCCTTGTTGCTCTCATTTTATAAATTAAATATAGGCAATTCAACTTCAATCGATTTACTTTCTTCGTCTGCTAGTAATGTCGTACCGTTTGTTTCATGACATTTTGTGAGTCTGGAAAAGCCGCACAGAATATTGGATATCCTGACCTCTGTGTACAGTGTGCGATATTTTTCATGTAAACCTGGAAGAGAAGTGTCTCATATTATGTAAAATTATTTTATATACCAATTTCCAAAAAAAAAATGGACCAATCGTGCTTCTCTATATTAATTGAGTGAAAAACTCATTTGATTGAGTGTAATCCTACAAAAGATCTTCACTATGAAGGTGATGATTCTTACATTAAAATTTCTATTCTTTAGGCCGGATGTGTTACCACGGCCCTACAGAAAAGTGTGGTAACCAATTCTTTTGTTCCTTGTCACCAAGTGAGAGAGGTTACCGGAGCCCAAACCCCTCCTCTCCTCCTCCTCTACAGCACTTGTGACTTAAGTTATAGGTGTCCATGGGCGGTGGTAGTTACTTACCATCAGGTGACCCGACTGCTGATTTGTTCTCTTATGAAAATGAAAAATTTGTCCGTTAGAAATCAAAAAATAATAATAATTCAATTATTTAGTTATTCATTTTATTGATCAGTACATGGTAACTGACGCAGCAGTCAATCCAAACAGACATGAAACTGCCACCCAAAGTAACCCAGTCTCAGAACAACTATTTGGGGATGTTTGCACAAAGTGTTGTCTCATGTGAGGATCGAAACCACAACACTCAGCGCAGTAGTAAGCGGCGAGGTGACTGCTTAAACCTAGTGCTTTAAGCACTAACCTAGCTAACTAACCTAACTAACTGCACTGATGGCAATTACGCCATTAGTGCAGTTAGTTAATGAATTGACTTTTAACCGGATTGTACTTTTTTGAAAACAAAATCTAAAATGATTTAAGTTTCTGTGGACATGCGTAAAATTTTTGGCGTGTCCAGATGACGAAATAATAAGTGATGTTAATTTTGAGTTTCAAATACTGGACACACGTGTCTCTTTTAGGTATTAAAAACACTCTTTGGTCGAGTGGGTGCGAGACCCATAAAATCGGGATAAACCTTAATTAAGAAATGTAAAACAACCATTTATTACACAAATAACGATGCCTGTACAGCTAGTTTAAACAAAAATTATTTGTTTGTCAGAGAAGAGTCCTATCCGGATAAGGAACAGGGTGTTATATCTCACACACATAATGTGAGTACTACTACGTAGTCATAAACTTGTTAGTGGGAAACCTCATAGGTTTGTGCATATTGTCATGTTGTCTTATTTTAGTTGCACTTGGTATGTCGGCAGAATACAAGGATTCACATAAATAGACAGATAAGATGACAAGTTTCTGACTGAGCATCCTATCATCGCAGTGTTTCCATGTGGTATTTTAAATTGACGATTTCAACAAGACAAAAGTTGTAACGAAACAAAAAATGAAATAGTAGATAATAATAATACTAATATAATAACCTTCCACATTCCACAGCAGAGCCTGTGATGTGGACTGCTGATAAAGACACATATATTTCTTAATACATACTTACATATTATAGATAAATTTAGACACAGAACAAATGATGGGTTACTTTGGGTGGCAGTTTCATGTTTGTTTGTAAATTCCCGCGCGACACAAGAGTCATTTCTAGTGCGGGAGTTGTCTTTAAAAAATAACAATAAAAGTTAAAAGCTGGATTGACTGCTGCGTCAGTTACCATGTACTGATCAATAAAATGAATAACTAAATAATTGAATTATTATTATTTTTTGATTTCTAACGGACAAATTTTTCATTTTCATAATAGAACAAATCAGCAGTCGGGTCACCTGATGGTAAGTAACTACCACCGCCCATGGACACCTATAACTTAAGTCACAAGTGCTGTAGAGGAGGAGGAGAGGAGGGGTTTGGGCTCCGGTAACCTCTCTCACTTGGTGACAAGGAACGAAAGAATTGGTTACCACACTTTTCTGTAGGGCCGTGGTAACACATCGGGCCTAAAGAATAGAAATTTTAATGTAAGAATCATCACCTTCATAGTGAAGATCTTTTGTAGGATTACACTCAATCAAATGAGTTATTCACTCAAATAATATACAGAAGCACGATTGGTTGTACTTTACTGAATACTAGATGGCGCTGTCCTCCACATTCCATTTAATTCTGGAACAATCGTAGCATTTTATCTTATGGCTCAACAATATGTATTTTATAAGTAGTTACACTTATCGTCACTAGGTGGCTCTGGGTGTTATGCAACTGATCATCGCCAAAACTTTCGTCTCAAATTGAAGGTTTAATAATGATAAGATATTGGGCTCGTGATTAGCAGAATTTCTACATGACTAAAAAAATACAATTTTGGCGTTCATGAGTGTATTATACGAGTACATCCCAAACCGTGAAGTCTAAACAACCAGGTGCCTTTAGAATTCCAACATCATCATTGTCACATTACTTAATTTTTTGGCAGGGCAATTGTTTTTTTTTTAAATTAATTATCAAATACTTATTAACGTGATGAGATGATTAAAACGGCCTGCACCAGCTAGAAAACAAAAAAAAGACTAAAATGATGTTATTTATTTTATGTATTTCCAACAATAGTTTAGCAAATACTTACGTATTGGGTCACAAATACTTTTATAAACTCAATCGTCTCTTGCCTTTAATTTTTAATTTATTGTATCACGTCATAAAATCAAACAGTAGCACCAAAGGCTCACGTATTCCTTAGAATGAAATCGTAACAGGTCGTTCGATTTCTGTGCTTGCTAGATTTCTCAGGCTCGGGCTGATGTTATGGCCGCAGGTGACTATGTTAGCCATAGATTAAGTTTTGAAAAAAGGTTCAGTCTGAACGTTCAGTCGAACATTACCAACAGACTAACTTTGTTTTGGTTTTGACTGTGGACCTTTACAAAAGAGGATCCCCGATAAGGCCAGGTGATAATTTTATTTGTTAAAAGACAACGCATTAGGAAAATGGAGGCCTGCGGCCTATACCCAATAATTGATGTACATAAACTAATTAAAATGCAGTAAGAAATGTCATTGTGAGATGTAGGATCATTAGTTATTACATAGTTTCACTTGTCTTCGCCAGATGACAATAAAGTATATTTTTGGTGTGTCTGGAAGTTAGTACAATACCAAATTATTTAAATCACCTCAAATGTTAACGTTACGTTGACAGAATAGATGGCGCAGTGGCTTATTAGTTCTTACCAACTGATAATAAACTTAATATGGTCTGTTCAATAAACACAATGAGTTTTGGAATTGAGTACTTAGACAATATGATCTTCTATCTGATAATCATCACCAACCCTTAATTTGTTTACATAATAGGCCTCTCCTTAGAAAGGAGATTTTGACTTCTATACCACGCTGGCCAAACTGGTTGGTATAGGGTTGGTGTCAAGTTTTTCTTCTCTTTGCAGTGCTGTTGTCCTGCGTAGTTTGCTGCCTTGGTCGTCTCTTACGACACTCATGGAATGAATACGGGTGGTGACACTCTGTATTCTTAATCCGTTACCATTTTTCTCACCATAATCTTACTCAAATTGTGATTCAATTCATTTCAACTATTTGCTTAAAACTACTATTTTTTTAAACAAAAATACCACGGTAGACAACAATAAAGACCTTTACAGCTGAAATGAAAAATAAGGTTAATGAATGTAAATAATAGCCCAAAAATAGTAATCAACCCTCCCGTCGCGAGTGCGTCGCTCTATATTTATAATTAGGCGCACACGCAGCGCGACGGCACGCGACATGTTCAAAGTTATTGTAACTTTGCTCTCGTTGAGACACATCCTTGTTTAGAGCAGGATCAATTCTGTTTAGTTTAAGAGTTCAACAAGATTCCTATTTTCTATACTTTTAAACAATTTCATTGGTTAGGCCAAAGTTCATCGAACGCGCTTCTAAAACAACTGAAAACTACGCCAATATCTAAAAATATTTTATTATGAGTAATACTGACCGTGTAAGAGGATTGAACTCTGGCTTATTTCCTGTCGAGAGAGAGTACTAGTGAACGTTTACCTCAAATTCTTGATAGTTTAACACAGCTTTAAGGGCAAAAGTGATAAAAAATGACTCGTGGACCGACAATAGTGCGAGTTGCACCCAGCGGGGGTGGTGGCAAAGGCATTAAGTGTTGTTGCTGTCGATGCTGTGAATGTTTCAACTTGGGATACCTGACCTCACATCATGGACTTATTAAGTTAGCTGAAGCCGTAAGTATTATTTTTATGTGTAAAGTAATGGTACAGGGAGTCGTGATGATGTAAAAATCTATGTTTCTGGTGTCATTTATGTTTGTAATTTTGTCGTGTAATATTTCTACATATAATTAAATGAAGTATACTGTATCTTTTGTGTCAACGACAAATAGTGTATAGTTGTATACTGACTGTTGTGTACTCCTGGGTCGCAAGTCTCAGGTGCTGTCGCAGTCGCATGTGTTGCCCCCATGTATCACGCGATGGACCCGGCACCCTTCTTCATCTTGTGTTAACGACAAAAGATACAGTTTTTGAAATAGTGGTAGTTTTTTTCAAAACTGGTAAGTTATATCAAGGAAAATAAAACTCCAAGAGTTTTCAACAATTTAATGTAACTTCCGTACAAGTAACATGATGTACATTAATGGCTTTATACGGTAGTACAGGGGAGGCATACCCCTCTTATTCCACTCTAGTAAAATGTGCCGAAGCATGAGTCTACCATGGCATACGGTACTTTCAATTCCATCAATAAAAACTTCCTCTCAAATAAAGTCGCTTGTCATTTTTTACCCCTTTGCCAAGTCATTCTATTTAATACAGACGTTTAAATATGGATTAAGTCACTACAAATTGCTGTTAGTTAATCAAATAAGTAACAGTTAGATTTTACAACCTTTGGAAGAGTTGCGTTGGGACTTACGAGATTTGAGTTTTTTATGTTATCTTATTTCTTTCTGTAGGTAGATATAACAAAGAACACAGTGTAAGTCAATGACATTGTACTTATCTATGTCTACTATTTACCTACATTCCTCTTTAGATAGTGCAAAGGACGAAGATGTCTATCACATATAATCCCATTTTTATATAGAATTACAGATGTTCGAATTTGTATATAAAAAAACATATTTATAACTTTTAAAGATTCTTCCTGGGATTGATTATGAGATCCTAACCTGTTCATTGTAGAACTAACTTAAAAGTACACCTTTCAAAATAAGAAAATAATTTTCCAAATCGCTTCAACTACTTCCAAGTAGGTACTCGAGTAATATACAAAAAAAAGGTTAGCTCGTCGGAAACGACTGTCAATTTTCTATTTTTTTTAAGTAGATCAAGAAATTAAAATAAAATAGGTATGTCATTTTCTTAATGTTGTAACTCACATTTTTTCAATCTCGATGTACTCGTATGTTAACAGTTATTTGTCATGGTGCCTAAGTGACCTAAGTCTCAACTCAGATAAATGGCAGAACATATTTATTCCCATAGGTTTTTTAGTTTTTTGTTATATAATTATGAATGTTACTTTTTATGTATGGCTACTATCTGTTGCATTTGGGTGTCTTTAGTTAAAATCCCCCTCGGTTTTAACTAAAGACACCCAAATGCAACAGTTGTTTAATTTTTCTAACTCCGTTTGCCGATTTACACCGACTACTTCAACAAACTAAAAGGTATCTATTGCTATTATAATGTTACCTGTTATTTTGAGGGTCGCACTTGTTTTAGTTTTTTTTTCAATTTATTTTGATTTGTAATTATTTAATGCTATTTGTTAGTATTGTTTGAAGTGTTTACAACTTATTCTTAAAACGGATTTATTTTACCATTTTAGTGTAAGGTATGTTTGTAATTCTCCTTCTGCGAGCTAGTTATGTTTGCGAAGGAGATAGCGGAGCGGGACCGGGAGAGGTTTAGAACTCTCCCGGCCCGGCCAGGTACCGCCCACGACTCAGGCGCCGGAGGTCGCAGAACAACCTCCGTCCTCCATAGGCGCAGGTCTGGAGGTGACAGATGAAGCCAGGACAGGCCGGGGTGGCGCGAAGCGCGCGAGCCCTTCTGGGAGCACAGAGGGGATATGGGGGTTCCCACACAGGGGGAGGGGGTCGTCTACCCGCCTTAGATGGCCCGAGGTACGTCAGGGCACCAGGTATTTCCTTTCTGGGGTACACCAGGTTCCCCGACTACTGGTACTTGAGACGGCGTGCGGTTTTAGTCGGTTCGAGTCCGACATTACCACCGCTAAGTGGTATCCGAGGGGATTGCTGCACAGAAAAAAAAAGGTATGTTTGTAATGGTTAGGTAAGTACGATATTTAAAACACTACTACTGTAATTACCAAACTGTACTTTGTTAGATTATATTAAAATTAGTTTAGTAAAAAAAAAAGTTTAATAAGTCCGTTACTTTATTTAGATAAGCGCGATGATAATTATGAACTGAGGTGCAAAAGGTACCATTTGCTGCCACTTAAGGAGAGAAGAAGTATATCGGATATCTCTTTCCTCGTTAAATTAGCACAATCTCACATCGACGCCCCACAACTTCCCTCGTTATGTGCCCCTACTAGATCTGTTAGGATACCTTTTCTTCTTCTTAACGTCCCTCGCTGCAGCACAAACTACAGACAGAATTCATTCTTCATAAGATCCTCTAAGTGCTACAATAAGTTGGTCGACTTTTCCGAACTTGACTTATTCACTACTAAGCCGAATGTATTTAATCAAAAACTTTCCAAACATTGGTTCGAACTGGTTCAATAACTGCATAAATTATACTTTATAGCATTTTATTATGTGTGATGTAGTATTGTAGTTGTTGTAGTTGATTTTTGTTTCTTTAATTTTTTTTGAACAAACAAGGTCTTAATAGTTATTTAAATGTGAAAACATGTAATTGGTTTTTAGCTACATTATTTGCTCTTACAATTAAGTTTTTAATACTGTTTGTTTTCCAAATAAAATAAAATAAGGTAGTAAGATGTTTTATTTGAGCCCGAAAATATACTGTTTTCTACGAGCGGCTTTTTTCTTCACATTTGAATGGAACCAAAGGGAAAAATACTCTTCCAAATAACAATAGAATTGTCCAAATCGGTTCTCAAATGAAAGAGTTTTGTGGCAACAAACATGAAAATAATTGCGTATCAAACTTCTTTTTTGGTCTAAATATTTTGTATCTCTCACATTCAAATCTCACATAGCTCTGTGACCCAACACTAACACCTAACAAATATCTTGAAAGAATAAAACAACGTCAATACATGATTAGATTTTGGAAAGTTTATCCTCGGACTCCTAAAGGTGAAGGAACCTTCCAGCATCAGCTCAGCTACATGACATAACGACTACTAAACGCAAATACCTATATAGCCAGATAAACAAGGTAAAACACGTTGGCGGGGCTGTAAAATTTGAGAGATTTCCTCGATTTCTCTTGGATCCTATTTTGGTGGTAATAGGACCATCTCGGGAGTATACCCTTTCGATTACAAAAGGAATTTTTACCATCGCTCCCGCTAACAAACATACAAAAAAAAATACAGTCCAATTGAGAACCTCCTCTTTTGTGTTTTGACTTAATAAACAAACATTTCAAATAATTTTACTTCTTTTTATAAACAATATAGATAACATACAATATAAAACAATCTTGATTTGCAATTTTAGATTAGAAATATAATTCCGAGAAAGCTTGTGTATGAATATTTTATTTAAATCAAAAGCCGATAGTTCTGATAAACTAGAAGTTATAATAAATTGAGAGTAATTGGAACCAGTGAGTTGCTTCAAATACAACTTGTATCCCTAAATGGAAATGACTCCTTATCTCTTTTTTCGAAAAGAGGTAAGAATAAATGTCATGAAATTCGAGTTTCATGCTAGTAGACTAAAGGATTGAGATATGGTATACATTTGTGGGCGATGGTTACGGGTAAAATATAGAGAGAATGGTTATAGTACAAAAAAGAGCAAACGACCTATAGTTAACATTTCTCAGGGTGAATTACGTAGGAAACATTTTATAATATTTGGAATGTTAACGGTGCCTTGTTTGTATCATCATCATCAACAGCCTATAACAGTCCAATGCTGGACATAGGCCTTTATTTAGAAAGGAGGTTTGTATAAAACTCTATATATATATTTACGCTATGTAACTTATCCAAATATATCCCTGAAATTAAAACTCACGCAAAAAGGTTAGAACAACATTTTAGACATAGACGTACATGACATAGCTGTAGATTGAGCTTACATAGCTCAGTCCATTACATTTGATAATTGCTTACCGGAAGAGATAAAAAACATACCTAATCTACATAAGTGCCTCATACAAACGAAAACTGAATCCGTCCTATTGAAAAATAACTATCACTTTGTCTATGAATCTACTTTATCAGAAAACCTGTGAGTCAGGGACAGTGATGATTGCAAATTGAGGGACTTTGAGTTGCAATCATTTTTAAACAACATACTTAGATTTAGTAACGGTGACAGGAATATACCTCGTTATATTAGGCCAATATTTATAGATAATCTAACCTTGTCATATCATGTTTCCAGCTTTATCTACAACGAAGTTACAAGGAGGTGGAGAGGGTTAAGAAAAGTTCTTAATGGCAGATTTTGCGGCTGTACCTATGGGTCATTGACTTTTTAAAAATCACCGTCTAACGTGGACCTGTAATATAATGTTTTTCGTATTTATTAGTTACATAAGTGTACAGCAGCGCAATAGTTGACAGTCTAATCATGAGAGGTCATTAACCTACAAGAGAGTTTTGCAAGATATTGCCACAAGAATAACCGACAATAGTTGTAGCCTTTACCAATTCCTGGCTGGCATGATTTCAGTTAATGTAAAAAATAATAAGTGTTGTATCAATGTCTTTTGAAATCTCCTACAGTTTTGTACTTTGGGTTTGACTAAATAGATACCTAATAAAAATGATATTCATTTAGACTGACAGTTATACATTCGTATCTCCGACGTACGTAATAACAAGAAATGAATACAATCGCATACATTATATCATACAATTATTAGAATGGAATAGTGAGAATCATAAATAGTAAGCGATCTTCAGTTCCAAAAAAATTCATTTAATCTCGAATTCGATTGAAAACCTAGTATAAAAAGAAAAAATAGGATAAGATACTGCTCTCGCCCTGGTAGTTTTTGTTATTACACCCGTGCATCGACAGAAGAATAGACTTTGGTAAATACGTAAAGAGCGCAATACCACCTTCTTAGCGTAGAAATCACCTCAAAGGTTGTAGGTCCTGTAGGATCTGGTTATGAATACACGACCAACATAAATCTAGAAATATCTTATGAATTACATTATCTCATGAAATTTGAATTTAAAAAAACAGATCATGCATGCATCTCAGTCGCACCACTGTTGTTATATAGGTATAGAATACTTTGGCTCACAATTCCGATTTTCAAGACATACCGTGAGACATATTTTGTTATCAGATTTGCAATGTTAATGTTGTTTTCAATAATCTCTTTATGTACACAGATGTTAGGCGGCTTGTGCCAGAGCCTTCTGGTGAAGTATGGGATGTCGGAAGCAAGTAGCATGGGGTCGGCATTTCACAGCTTTCTCACAACAGCCTCTGCCTGTCTGCTCACCACTGCTCTCCTCATCACCTGCTACGTACTGTCTTCGAACACGCAACAACTCATACGTCAATCAATTTTTGTAAGTTCTAAAAAAAACTTTCAGAACAGTTTTTTTCACATGCTCACATTTTCACATGATGAAAAGCATTCTATGTATATGCTTTTAATCTCTCACTGTAGGAACAAGACGAAAAAACTATTGTGCGCCACGCTCTCTTATATTAAGTTAACGATGTCTCTCTGCGAGTAGTTTTGATCAAGTTTCATAAAAGTTATTAGACTGACAATGGAGATAATTTTACCTGCTTAACTAGTTGTAATGCACACTTAAGAAGCGAACTCATTTCGAACACAGAAAGGAGTGGAACAGTGGAAAAAAGTAATAAGATGGACAGATTGAGCACCATCAAATTTCGGAGCGTGGGACCCGCTTCTGGTAGTAGATTTTTTGAGAGTTTAAACCTACCAAAGTGTTATTCCATATCCTTATTCCAACCTCTCAAAAATCTGAATATGTCATACAAAATAAAAGGTGGTCAAAGAAGACGAGAAACGTCGTATTAGTCGTAACATTATATAGCTCTATGTCATGTTATCAACACGTTGTCTTTATAATAGCGCCTATACACGAAAAACCTTTAACTACTTATCTTTAATTACATACTTAATTCACTTTGTCTTTCAACACCCGCATTCCAGGAGTGCATGTTCAATGCTGTGGCCTGTTTCTTGTATCTGTCGGCGTCATCATACATGGGCGTCGCAGTGAACTTCTATCTGTACCAGAGATATCTCTCTATCAGCATGTACGCTGCTTATCCAGCTATGACTGCCGTCTATGTAAGTTTTCGCGTTTGCTAAATAATAATATTGAATATCTAACGGTATTGTCTCGCAACTGAAATGATTAAGTAGGAGGAAAAATTGCCATCATTCTTGGTTTATCTAGTTATTTAAAACAAATAATATGAAACAATAATTGTCATTAATAAAATTCCAAGATAAAAGTTAATTAATCTATGATCCCTATGTTTCACAATTAAACCCTCATAATTGATGATAATTCAAATACAATACTATCCACTTTAAAGATTTTAAATTGATTGTTTGATAATTAAAAAAAAATAGACGTATGATGAAGTTATTTTTACCGCCAATTGATTTACGGTATTTTATGTACATACGTACATAGAGCTTCAGCGAAGGACTTCCGAGCTGAGACAAGAGTTGAAACAGAAACGATTTATTAAAAAAAGATAGTCAAAAAACAGTGGTGTACTTTAAAAATCAAATTTGTTCAGTCGTCTTTATTTAGTTTTACATAAAGTCGTTTTTTTTCTTGTACCCTTAGATCTTTTAAACTAAGCAACGGACATTAATGCGGTTTCACAATTGAGAGGGTGAGGGTTCAAGAGGAAGGTTAAAAATACATGCACACTATAGAAGAGAAAATCCGAGAATTTTTAAGATTTTTGATTAAGATTAAGACAAGTATTTTTGTGCGCTTACATTGCAAACGCTGACTAAAACTCACGTATAGATCAAAATAATGTACTACGGAACTTTATCCTAAAAAGATCTACACAATGTCGGGCCTTAAGTCCGTCCCGGGTGGCAGCGGAATGTAAATATTTATTTAATCCCTCACTATACATTGCCGCCACATGTAATGATTCATTTATGACTTTACGATAGATCTTTGGGATCTAGATTTGACAAACTGTGTGAAAGCATTTAGTGCTGCCTCCTGGGAAGATTTTTTTTTTATCACGTAGAAAATTGTCCAAATCAATAAAAAAAATGGTAGTCCGTTGGACCGGTTTCTAACTGCAACTCCTGTAGAGTTCCAACGGTTTCTCGTGCAGTGTGAGGTTTTGCTTAATCATGGAGCAATAATGGTAAAGATCGATTCACGAGTCGGGGCTGTTTCACTGCCAGTTTCACCATTATTGTTCGAATTTCGGCACAGTAAACATCTGCTGTTATTGCCTGACCAGACCTGAGCAAGCTACAGTGAATAACACCATGAAGTGATCACAGAGCAGTTAACATTACCTTTTTATTGGTAAACTTTACTTTAGGGCATTGTTGCGGCGTTTGACCTTGCGTCAGCTATTGTATTTTTTGGTTACGGTTATGGTTAACAATCAATTTTCTGTCACATATCACAATTCGATCCAACATTCCTACATTTCTGTACCGATTCAAGAAGTCATCTATATACATCACAAGTTTCAACACGCATTTCTTTCTGCAGATCAGTCAAATGAGGAGGCACCCATTCTTTATATTTTCTTATTTTATTGATTTGATACAACTGAGTCAATATTGTAGGTAGGGTAAAGTTAGGTATAAATCGAAAACCTAATGTTGGACATTTTTTAAAAGAGGAACCTCATAGATATCATGTGAAACTTTTCATGTTTTTATGTCAATTCAAAGTATCAATTGCCAATTTCATACTTTGACCCCTATTTTCTTTTTGTTTTATTCTGCTATTTTCTTATATTTAATAAAAGGTTTTATTTTTTCAGTATATTGGAATAGTGGTTGGCATTCTTCACGGAGTGGATGGTTATTTAGCTTACAAATACTATAAAGGATATCGGTAAATTAATGGCCAAATAACGAAGAAAGTAGTAACGAAGAAACGAAATCTACAAACGAAGTGCTCTGACTCTAGTCATGCAAGGATATCAAAGCACCTAACAAATAGAAAATTTACGGAAAAATAAAAAAAAGTTTAATTACATGTGTAGTCGAATTAACATATTTGTTTCTATATTATATAAAATACATCTATACTGTCTGTATTGTCTACGTTTGAGTTTGAGCTTGAAAATCAATTGATACATTTAACCATTTGCTATTGAACTTTTCTTTCCAGGTTAACTTAAATGAACAGATTCCAGATTATTTATACTTGCTATTTTCTTAATTTTTAGTTTCTTACAGTTTAACCTTATATTTGGTTTTGCTGTGAGCACTTTAGGAGGACCATTGCTTCCAGTAAATGTAACGTATGTTAAATTGACACAAGGTAGGGAATTTGCTATACATCAATACTTGGTTGATTTAATTAGAATTGAAATCTTACTTTGCACAGTCTTTAGACTATAACTTTTTTAACAGAGATTATTGTATTGCTTCCAGTAAATGTAACGTATGTTAAATTGACACAAGGTAGGGAATTTGCTATACATCAATACTTGGTTGCTTTAATTAGAATTGAAATCTTACTTTGCACAGTTTTTAGACTATAACTTTTTTAACAGAGATTATTGATTATTGTATTCTATTTCATACAAATTTAGAAAAAGCTTGACAGTTAATATAATAGTTATTTTTGTAGTAGAAGAAGTGTAGAAGTACCTTTATCTAAATATGTATGTAAAATGTCTATAAAATTGTATCTTTATGTATTGTATGTTAATGATTATTGTAAATCTTGATTGTTTTAAAATGTTATGATGATGCATTAAATATGCTTATAATTTAGGGTGTAAGTAAGGCTTTAGCAATTCGCTAGAAATTCTGATAGTAAGAAAGTGGGTGTGCGTATTCGATTCTCGTCTTTTAAAATTTTTCGATACCTATGGGGACACATGACACCATTTTTCATTAAAAAAATTAAATAGGTAACATAATTATTTGTTTTGACATTCAAAGTTTACATGTGTACATATACCTCTAGTCTTCAGCCTTTTTAGTTTTTCAAACGCCAAGTTCAATTTGACTACACTCACAGTAGGGTGCAAGCCTATAATTATCGTCAACTGGGTACTATGGATATAAAAGATTGGGCAAGATAAAGAAGGGGGAAAGATGGGAAAAGAAAACTGTAAGGGATCGGCCATTAAGAATTGTAGGAAGGAGAACGATATTGCTTATAAATAAGGATACATTGGAGAGTCTCGGTAGCATACCTGTAAATCGATGTGACTGTTGCCGGGAAATTATAGTCTTTTTAACATAATGAATGAATCTATTTGTAACTATTGCATGTACAATATGAATATGAAACAATTGAAATACTTTTTTAACATCGGCCATCAGAAATAATAGGTTAAAGCGACTGATTTTCATTGAATTTTTCGAGTAAAAATAAGTTATTAATTATGAATTTGGCGGATTGCATTTTTTCATCCCAGTAAGTAAACTACATCGTCATTGACAAATACCACTAATCTTTTGTGTTAAGTTCTTCGATCAGTGATTGAAGGTTAAGTTTTTAATTCCCTTATTAATTTTAATTAGGTAGTATATTTAGAAATTTAGTATAAGTAATCTATAAATCAGCTGTGTGTCATATTTATATATAAATATTTAATCTTTTATAAGCGATCGATAAGTTTATCAGTTTCCGTCATATAATAGGAATCTAATCTGGCTCATACATAATGTTTATCCGCGGATTTCTTTAAAAGCTAATATACGTTTATTGTTATATTGTACTTTAATGAAATAACTTTATTTCCTTTTATAGTTATCATTTGTGCGGATTGCCTTTGTAACATTATATTTCTTTGCACTGAGTTATCAGTTCAATATTAAAGTTCTACAAGACGAAGCCCAATAGTTTAGTAATATACAAAGGAAGAAAGTCTTGTGTGACCTTTCTTGTAAAGACTTAACAATTCATTCTATTTCACGTCTTTTTACTCATTTGACAATAGTATGTTTGTTTAATTTAACGTATTTGTGTAGTTATTTTCATCAGTCTTGTGACAGATGAGAGATGCTTAGTTCTAACAAGAACCTGCCCACCATATAGATATATATTTTAAACTTAGACGGGTAATTCATACATTGAGTATTTCTGACATAGTCTTTTACAAAATGTATGTGATATATTAAAAATCGGTTAGAGGGATACAACTTTCCAGCAGACAAAACAGCCAGGTCGAGTTACTGGAATGCGACCCTAAACCGTTCGAGCTATTTGCTTACACTCTTTATGCCATCCATATAACCAATATCCCCCTCCTACCATCGAATTATCTTCTTACCTATATCTCCTTTCATATCACACTAACACCCAAATCTAGTTCCTAAATTGGTTCACGGCTATAGGCTTGGCCTCTATTACGAAACTGTAATTAAAATACAGTCAGCAAAATGTCCTACATACTCGTAAGAGTATAGTCGTGAGAGTATCTATATATTAGTGTATACGTATCTTATTAAAAATGTAAATGAAAAGTTGGAAAAAAGTATTTATGTTGTATCATTCACTACTGTCATATCATTTTGTAGAAATAAAATATCACATGTACCGCTTAAATCTCTATTTCTTTTGTGTTTTATGCTTTACGTGTCTTGTTAATAAATTTCAGTAACATACAATGTAAGTAAGTGTTAACTATAACATGTAATAAAGCCACATTTATTTTTACTATTTGTTTTGTTGATAGTAATGGTATTGATATAATATTATATTAGAAGTGCGCTACTAGAACTATCAAAACCTCTTTTCTTAACTCCTCGTAATGATCTGTCTTGAATTCTGCCTAATTTTGGGTTAGGGCTCGTGCAGCATGCAAGCGATGTCACACAACGTCGATCGCGGCGACTTGATAGAATGTATAGAGGTAAATGGCTGTCTGTCTGTCTGCGACTGACGGCTAGTAGTCTCCAGACTTGCAGCAACCACTCGCCAGAGGTGGATTGCGACTGCGCAGCGTAACTTTTTTGTTACCTATTTTACTATAATACTGGATGTACCTAACAGAGACAGCCCTTTTTCTCTTTCTTCTCATTCTTTTAAAGGCACGAATCCGGTTAACAGAAATTTTCCAACAATAAAAGTTCTGATACTGTATCCATTACCGCTCTAAGTACCCTTCTTCACGAAACCAAAATCAAAAATCAAAATCAAAATCATTTATTATTTGCATAAAACAGGTATAAAGGTGGTAGAAGATACATCATATAATACATGGGTACGCTGTAATATAACCTCATAAAGGTTTGCAAATATTTAGACATATATATTTAAAAGATTATTATTTAGACGTTCAACATTACAAATACAATTTGAAGAATATATTCATATCATAAATTTATTCAGAGAATTAATAATGTCAAGAGTATTATGAATGTTATTAAGACAGATCAATACAATAAAACCAAAAAATAATAAAAAAACAACAATAATAATCAAATAGTCAAAATAATAAAAATAAAAAAAAATGTCACATTGTCATGTTCAAAATAAATTAAATAACAATGAACGAAATTAACTTGATTCACAATTTGTCTTGCAGAAAATCATTTACATTATAATAGCATTTCTGGCTCAGATTTTTTTTTAAAGTCTGTTTAAAGATAGTCGGATTTGACTCCTTTATATTCCTAGGTAATTTATTATATATTTTTGGAGCCATGGCGAAAACACTGTTATGCATTAGAGCAGTGTTTGATTTACACAGCCATAGCCGGGATTTATCTCTTTGCATTCGGCCATACGCGTCAGAAGACAAAACAAATAAATTAAAATTTAGTTTGGCAAACATAGCTACCTCGAGTATATAAATGGATGGTAGTGTCAAAATATTATATTTTTTATAATAGGGCAGACAGCTGTCGGTTGATTTTAGAGAGAACATTCCCTCATCACACAACGTTTCTGTACCTTGAATACTTTATCTTTATGTACAGAGTTACCCCAAAAAATTATACCAAACCTAAGAACTGACGCCACCATACCATGGTATGCAGTCAGAAGTGCATGAGTATTAATTACTTGTGATAATTCATGAAGTGCATACACTGATTTACTGACCCTTTTGCATATATGTTCTACATGTGGTTTCCATGTTAACTTATTGTCTATTATTACACCTAGAAATTTTGTGGAATCTACTTCATTTAAAGATTGGCCGTTAGCGCATATCTGTAGGTTTTTCATACTAGGAATACGCTGACTAAAATGCATGAGCATTGTCTTTAGTATGTTAGCTCTTAAATTATTTACATCTAGCCAGTCGAGAACAGAGTTCAAACAATAAGTATGTTTAGTGCCAACCCCAAATAGGTAACTAAATTATGAATTGTCATCAATCGGTCGTAGTCGCTCATCGCTGTAATGTTTTACTAGCTGGAAATCGCTGCGAGTCAATGCGACCGAAGTCGCGCGACATAGGCACGCTGCACGAGCCCTGAGGCAGCTATGTGAGAGAGGTGTCAAGTTATTATTATTTGCGTGGAGGCTTTCGCCTGGGGTTGTTATGCGTCTGTTGTTATCCACCTTTTCCTATTTCATCCTGGCACTTTTAGTGTGGAGATTGGTATTCATTAGTCTTACTACGTTTTTTACCCAGTAAGCACCCAGAGTTTTTGCTGCAGTAGCTTTTCCAGTCGAAACTATACGATACAATTCGGCGATCGTTTTCGCTGTCCCATCAGTTTTCAAAGGTTAATGGTCTTTATTTCCAAGGAAGCTGCCAGTGTTCTGATCAGCTTCCAAAGCATGCGGTTGAATTTATTACCGTCGAGGTAATGTCGCCTGGTTTAAGCTCTGCGTTGATGAATCAGTCGATCAGTCAGGGTAAGTAGTTTTATATGTATGTATAAAATGAAGTGTACATTAATTAGTAGAATCTAAATCCTA